CCGTTAAAAAAAAAAAAAAAAGGAAAAAAAAACAGCAACAACAGCAGCAACAAAATAGATTCGTCTTTTTTTTTTTTTTTTCTTTTTTTTTTTAAATTTAATTTATTATTATTCCTTTTGATTTCGTTTCATTTTCCTTCTTTTTTTTCGTTTGTTATTTAAAAAATACATCGGGTGTGATGTACGCTCAAATGACCGTACCAAAAAAAAAGAAAAGAAAAAAAAAAAAAAAAAGCAGTGTAATTTATACACACGTACTGGCACCTCCCTTTTCTCTTTCTCTCTCCCTTTCTTTTCCCCTTTTCTTTTTTTTTTTTTTTTGAAGCTTGTATACAACATATATATAATATAGACAAATATTACATACGCATATAAAGGATTTCATAAAATAAATAAATATAAAAATAGGTATCATGTGGAAACTGTGGTGTCAGGTGTGTCTACTTCTTGTAAGGCAGTCCATAATGGTACATTGTCGGTGATAATAGCATCAATTTTAAATACCTTTGACTGCACATATGTAAATTGTCCATCATTATTCATTTCACCCCAAGTCCATATAAGTTGTTTATGAGCATGCGCATATGCGGCAATGGCTTTGCCGCGGGAACAATCAAACGAAGCCCACTCTACCTCACGTTGATCAAGATTACTATTACGGTCGTCGGTAACATCGTCAACGGTATGGGTATTTATATGAGAATCATAATTTCCATTTCGAAGGTCCATTGTGTCTTTTTGATGCCGGTCTTGCTGCTGAATCTCAACCTGCAAAGATGTAGGTTGCCGTGGTAAACGGGAAACAATACGGGTACTAGGAATTTTCATCTGTTCCTTTGTACATAACGACGCAGCAAGGATAGAAACTCCCGAAAGATGCATAAAGACAGAAAATTGCAGTGCCCCTTCTACAAGTCCAAAACAACGGTAATCCTTAAAGTCTTCCGACATCTCCGTATCGCATAAAAACACAACATCAAAACGACTTTGTTTCATTTTTAACGCCAAACAAATATCCGGTTCAAAACTACTGAAAATAACATCACGGGGCCGGTCTGTCACACAACCCCGTTCATCCTGAACACTTTGCCGCTGATCCGCGTAGGCAAAAACAACGCGCAAAATGTCATCTACAAATGCATTTACCTCAAAGGCATCAATTTGCAAAAATAAATTTTTATCCCCAATGGGTTGAAAGGGAAACTTTACCTCAAGATCAAAACGTAGACTCGCCGGGGTACCTTCAAAAAGATCTTCCAGTGTACAAATATGATTCGTGACGTCCTCCTGCTGAGCCAAAATCCGTTGCCGATGATGAAGAAATTTATTGTAATCGTCATCCTTCTGGTGCTCATGGCAAGAGGCATCTAATTCATTTGGCAAACAACCACTAAACTCATTTTCCCCTTCTGGAGGTCGAATCTTATTTATCTGTAAATATTTTCGTCGTGTACGATTGCGGTAGACGCGAAGGATTTGATTCCAATGTCGTAAAATCAAATTACGCAAGGTGTTTGTATCCTTCATGTGTGTAAAAGTCTCTGTTGTCACCACATCCAATTGACGCTTTGTCAATTGATGCAAGGCAATAGGCACGGAAGTGAAGTTGGGGAGGGAATGCATGCAAAGCTGAAGCAACTGCGAGGGTCTTCGTTCAGAAAACGTCGCAAAAGAAGGCGAAGCGGACGCCAAAAAGGCAGGAGAATGAGCCGACAGTTGCATTTGGGGGTTTAAGGGTAAATTATCCATAAATACGGGACTGCAGCCAAAATCCAAGGGAGGGAGACTGCTTGATACTTTTCGCTCCACACGGCCATTACGGGTTCCGGCACCCCTCTTCTTACTTGCCTGCAGTTGAATAAGCGGGTCGTGAAATATGACAGGGATGCGATCCCGTGTGAGCATGACGTCAAACTCCACCATATCGCAGCCACGTCGATGAGCCGCATTGATCGACTCCAGACTATTCTCCGCAAGTTTCACGGTAAGTCGATTTGGTTTCATACGCTTAGGTGCCGTTGACGAGGAAGAGGCTTCATCCGATGCCTCGATAGGAATACTACGTGTGTAGGTTTTTCCAAGTCCACGATGGCCAACAAGTTTTTTTGTCGCCAAACGACCCAATGAAGAAAGTGAACGAACAACCTCAAGCGTACAACGCTGTTGATAATGAAATGGAAAGACAAAAAGATACTGCACGTAAATCGTGTGCCAGTGTGCCACAGGAGAGCCACCGGATTCTGTTATTTCCATAAAACAAAGAGGAATCGCAAGGGTGCCACTTGTATGATGCTTAAATAAAGGAGGCTGCAGTACGGCAACCCCCTTCACCCATCGCACACCGACCACTGTCGCCGAATAGCCGCTAGGAGCACAGGTACTAGTTTCATTGCTATTGTAACTGGCACTCCACTCGGCCCTCTCACCATCATTCGTGTTGTCATATTGATGGCTTTCCGCAAAATACGATTGGTTGAAGAAGAATCGGTAGGAGTTAATGAACGTGCCACTT